CCTGGAAAATTTCTAAAGATTACGCAGATTTTTTTCATATTTTATCCGAATTAACAAATCAATATAAACAAATCATCGATATGTGTATCGAAATGGAAGTTCATAATTAAGAAACATTTTGTGAACAAAATATTGGAAAATAGCATTTATAGAAAACAAAATTTAAAATTGATGGATACGAAAAATACGAGTATATCGTTATGAAGAACAACATGATCGGCGTGAATCGAAATCTTATTTGAATTTTGCCAATTATTATTAGTTCCACGAAAAGCAAGTAACTGATATTATTATTTTTTCAGCCATCTGACCTTCACACACAACTGGGAGTATGTCGATTATTTCATTGACTTGGCAATTAAATTTTCAATTGAATCATTTGTGCGTCGTCATCAATATTTTCCTAGCATTTATAGGTGCCACTAGCCAGTTGCTTGATAGTATTTGAAAACATACCGGTGATTTTGATAAAATGGCTACCTGTTATCGATGACTTTTTATAATATCATTAAAACGACTCATTACTTCTGATAAAACATGTAAATATTTTTTATCGCACTTCATACTCTCATTAAGAAAACTTTTTCCCTAACTCAAACATCAAGTTACCTTCACGCATGAAGAAAAAAAATGTGTGACACGAATCCTCCAATGACTTTTTGAAATTATAAGGCGAAATTTAGTTTGATTTATAAATAATGAGGGATGAGGATGAGGATGAGGGAGTCTTCCAAAGAAAGGAAGGGATTAAATCAAATAGGTGAATGAATGTCATTATGATGTCATCGATGACGTGATGAGATCAAGCTTATTCCGTGACATTAAAAAATCGTAATTCATGAATGAAGTGTGTGTATTTTCTATAATGTTATCCAATTTGGTACTGAAGAGCCTTAGGGCAAGTGTCTTCGTGAAATTAATCACTCCTAAAAAATATAACCCCTTCAATTAAAGTTTCAAGTTTCACTGGGCGATTTATTGTACAGTTTAGAGGAAATATAGGAAAAACTACTAGCAGAAAGTGCCGAGCTGTGTTTGGGAATGACCAATACAAAGCCATTTCGAGTTTAAATAATTGTTAATCTGGGAAAAGCTAACAAGTCTGTTATATAAATAATCAGATAAATTTGAGTATCATCAGCGTAGTGATAAATAGTGCAAAATTGTATACTTTTATAGAAATCTGAGATGTAGATGTTAAATAAGAGAGGTCCAAGAATGGAACCGTGTGGCACCCCAAATTTGGTGTTCAAAACTGCTGATTTGGATTGATTGAGGCTGATACGCTAAGTTCGGTGTTCCAAAAAACTTTCAGTGGGTGTTTTACTTTATTGCATAAAGGACTATACAGGGTGTAACTGAATAAGTGTAAAACATTCAAGGAGGTGATTCCTCATCGAAAAAAAGATAGGATCTTTCCTATAAAGAAATTTCATTGGAGCATCCCTTGTTGAGATACAGCCCCTTGAAGGGAGTACATAAAATTTGTATAACAATTTTTTCACAAGCACTGAAAAAGTTACAATATTGAAATTAACCTGACGTTTTGTACTACCAAAAAGACACTTAGCCAGTAATTTATTTGGTTTACCCCATGGTTGTAAGGGGTGGAAAACGCAACCC